TTAATGAGAACTAAATGAACAAAGGAATAGAACCACCACATATGATCTAATGAAATTTTAAGTTGGAAAGACTATGCTCTTTAAAGGATGGGCAAAGCATGATGAGCCTTTGGTGTCAAACCATTGACAAATATTAACTTGGTGCTAAGGATGAAAATGGTAATCTATGATGAGGTTACTTTATAGAATAGTTTATTATTTAATAAGCATATTAAATTTTGTTTATGGGTGGTGGAATTGTGAGACACAAATCCCTAAGCCTCAAAGTGGAGCCATACATGGCAGTAGTTGAAGCGAAAGTCCAACAAGTGTAACACATTTAATTTTGACTCAAAAAGTTGAGAACAGGGGTTCCAAAAGTATAGTATAGAGAGTATAGGGGTTGGATATGTTGTCAAAGATTCTATTGCATTGGGGAAGGACTATTTGATATGGCCAATTTTGCATGCCACATCATGGCCACGTAATCAAAGCAAATCCATTGAGAAGAACATGTTTGGAAATCTTTCATTAAGAAGTCCTAGCAAGAATATATATTGAAATAGAGGATTACAAACTCAAACAGGAATATAATCCAGTATAGTAGTTTGGCTATTCCACAATGAGGAATGTTCTTGTTGGGAACTCCCTAGTTCAATGGATTGCTTTGAGCTATTGGATTAAGGATCTGGTAGAATATGCCTTTCAATCCAATGGTTGGAAATTTATACATATACCATGCATAAGATGGCTAGATACCTTGTAAAAACTATATTGGTTCAGAAGATATCCAAATCTCACCACATCATCATATACCAAGTCATATATAGCATTAAGAATGAATATGGAATGGAAAATATTTAGTAAAATCTCTCATATTTTTTATTGTTATTATGAATCCTTAAAAATTTAAGGAATAAATGGGGATAAAATAATCATTAAGGTTCTTTCATCAAATAATTACCCTCTTTTTTGTAGTTGGCTTAAGAAGAGAGAGCTGAAGTGCATTTCAAAAAGTAAGAATTTGGAGAGAGAGAGATAAATAAGGGGGATAAACCTCAAAGTCACACTTGGTATAATTGCATTGCAACTAAACTAAAGATGAGGTGAAAATTTTAATTTAGCACTATATATAACAATTAAAGCTCAATCTTAAAATCATCTACACACACAATTAGGTTTTATGCATGCATAAGTATTGTCATTACTATAGAGAATTAAAATTGGCATTGCTATATAACACAAACATGGATGGCAATATGTAGTAGCACACTAAGCAATAAAAGACAAATTCAAACTTATATCAACAAATAGAAAAAGGACTTTTTGGTATAAAAATGAGTTTAGAAAGGGTCAAAAATTTATTCACATCTAAGCACTCCTCAAAGACAATTAGAGCTACCATTCAATTCCACTCATCTGAGTGTATAAAATATAGAAAAAAACATATTAGATTAGCATTAAAATTTTAGTTTATATATAGGAGTTAGTGGTCTAAATTGAAACTAATTTGGCTTATTTAGTAGTTAGAAAATTTTAAATTTTTTATTAGTTATTAAATATTGAGTTTAACATAATGTAGTACATCAAGTAGTCAATTCATGTATTATTATTATTTTAAAGTTTTTGTAACAACATTAAGTGTATTTACTATATATACTACATATATCTATAATAAAGGTTTATTAAATCTTTAAAAGAAGAAAAGGGCTCACCCTTCAAAGTTGATGCATGATTTTGTTTAAATTGATTTTTAGATAAAAATATTTATTATAATTTTATTTTATTTAGTCTGAATGCCAATAAATTTAAAATTTTCCAATCCTATTTACATATTACTAAAAAATCTGTTTTAATTTAATTAGAATTGATAATAGTTAATTGGATTTTATTTTTGTTTTAGTTTAAATATAGACCTGAAAAAAATATAATTGACTTTTCAATTCACTACTTCAAACATTTTTATATAATTACATATAGTATGAAAATCCCTATGGTTATTTATATGCACATCACAAATGTAAAAATAATATTTTAAAAAACTAAAGTCTTGCATTTATAGATTTAATTCTGAATGTTTTTAAATTTAAATTTTCATTATAATTGAATATGAAGAAAATTTTGATACATTTTTATTTGAAAAGGTTTATTAGAATCTCACCATTTGACATAGTAGTCAACGGTCAAGTCGTATGGTTTGAGCATGAGTGGTTGCATGTCGCGACGTGGCCACGAATCATCGCGCGTGATTCCGGAATCTTGTGGCCAGAGCTACGTTTATCCACCTCTCAGTATTTCTCAATACTCCGCTGGTTTTGGGTTTTAGGTCATGCGCCTTGTTGACTTGCGTCGCGGCGCCTAGATCGAGCCGATCGAAATCCCAGGATGAGCAGCCATGGATCGGCGGGAGCTGGCAGTAAATCGTCCAAGCGCCCACCGGCTGCGAAGAAGAAGCCAATCTCGGAGAATGGGAGCCTTCGGAAGACCAAATCGTAAGTTCTCCTCCTTTTCTCTCAAACTCTCTTAAGTTATAGGAATCCATCAGCTCCGGAGGCGAGAGAACCGTCAAGAAGCTGAGGCTTTCCAAAGCCCTGACTATTCCCGATGGAACCACTGTAGCCGATGCTTGCCGCCGGATGGTCACCAGGCGAGTGGATGCTGCGTTGCTCACCGATTCCACTGCAATGCTTTGCGGGATTATCACGGACAAAGTAAGTGGTGTCTCTTCTTTTTCTCTTTTTATAGTTTTTCTCTTTTGACATGCAGGATGTAGCCACTAGAGTGATAGCTGAGAACCTTAGGCCCGATGAAACACTGGTTTCGAAAGTCATGACTAAAAATCCCGTCTTTGTCATTAGCGACGCGCTTGCTGTGGACGCTTTGCAAAAGATGGTCCAAGGTATTCTACAACTTTGATAGCCTTCGTGAGATTCCCAAACCTCCATTTCTCTGCAGGGAAATTTAGACACCTTCCAGTCGTGGAGAATGGCGAAGTCATTGCACTGCTGGATATAACAAAATGCTTGTATGATGCGATTGCGAGAATGGAGAAAGCAGCAGAGAAAGGAAATGCGATAGCTGCGGCTGTCCAGGACGTTGAACGACAGTGGGGAAACACGCTCAATAGTAAGTCTGAGGTTTTTCTTTTCTTTTTTCTTGTGTTTTATCCTATTGACGCGGTGGATTCTCGGCAGGCTCTTCAACTTTCATAGATACACTGCGCGAGAGAATGTTTCGGCCAACGTTGTCAACGCTGATTAACGAGAACACGAAGTTAGTATATCTGTGATTGTTTTCGTCTTATTTATTTGCTATGAATGTCCAGAGTAGCTACTGTGTCTCCTTCCGACACCGTGTTGACAGCAACTAGAAAGATGCGCGAGTTTCGCGTGAACTCTGTAATCATCACGATCAACAATAAGCCGCAGGGGATCTTGACGTAAGTAAAATGTCTTTTCCTTACGGATCTCTAACCTCCTCTACTTTTTTTTAGCTCGAAGGATGTTCTCATGCGTGTTGTTGCGTCAAATCTTGCTCCCGATTCGACCACAGTCGATAAGGTAATCTCTTATAATCTTCAACGAAAGCCTGTACTTCAGTTTTGCTGGATTTCAGGTCATGACTCCAAATCCTGAATGCGTTACACTGGAAACAACCATTGTAGACGCACTCCATACCATGCACGACGGGAAGTTTCTTCACCTTCCAGTGGTAGATCAGGGTACGTTACGAATCTCCGGTTTTCACATACATTCTGATTTTTGTTTGTTCTGAGATAAGAAAACTGCATTGTTGCATGCCTCGATGTGCTTCAACTTACTCACGGTGCTGTGGCTACGGTATGTCGTCTAGAAACTCTAGTTTGATGGATTTCAATCTAACCATTTTCTCAAGGTTGGAAACGTTGGAGGTGGCACACCAAGTGAAACCGGAAGCACAATGATGCAAAAGTTTTGGGATTCGGCATTCGCGCTGGACGCACCAGAAGACGACGACGAGACGCAAAGGTCTCATTTCCATTTGGCTTCCGTTTGTTGTCTAACGAGAAGCTTGGGGTCAGTAATCTATCTGCAACGCTTACGTCGGAAGCATTCCACACCGAAGTTGGAAGGCTGGGATATCCATCCGGTGGACCCGGTAACGTCTTTGGCTTTAAACTTAAGGACAGGAACGGGCGGGTCCATAGATTCAACTGCGGTACGTTTTGCGAGCGTCCGGATTTATTAAGCTGTTTGACTATTGGCTGTAAACTTTAGGCACGGAGAGCCTTACGGAGCTTGTATCTGCGGTAGTCCAACGTCTTGGAGATTATATAGATCGGAACAAGCCTCCTCAAATCTTGGTACTTTTTTTTCTAGCTAAAACAGCAAGCATAAACCGTTTAGTGCCTTTTTCCAGTACGAGGACGATGAACGGGATCGGGTGCTTCTGTCTAGCGATGGCGACCTTGTTGCGGCTGTCAATTTCGCGAAGGCAACTGGCTTGAAGGTAAGAAGAAGATTTGAAGCTGGAAAACCTTCGTGTTAAATCGTCCTCGACTCCAGGGTCTCAAGCTTCACGTAGACTACCCAGACGAACGGGCGAACGCTGCTACTCCAAGGAACTTGGAACGGATTCTCGAGGGAAGTCCATCGCAACAAATGAAGCTAGAAACTGTATGGAGTGGAAATCACACAGCAACAGCGGCAATATTAGCTTGCTCGGCCGCTGTTGTTGGTGTCGGCCTTATCGTCTACTTGAGAAGATCATCATAAGATCAAAAGGAAAAAAAAAAAAACAAGGAAAATGAAAGATTTTCCAATAGCAGCATAGAACTGTGCTTAAAACTCAAACAAAACTAAAGGTTGGAGCGAAAGAATAAGTTTGTTTCTCCGCGTGAGAAGATAGGATATTAGATGATCGTGATCTCACGAAAAATGGAATCGTTTGGGATAGTCCTCCTCCTGTCCATGGTTCGAATCGTGTCAGACAAGTGGTGATATCTGGGTGTGTCCATCATTGTTTGACCCGTTGCAGTAAATTTGTAGACTAGGTTACGCTGTTGCTGTCCGTTTGGTTTCTAGGGTTTTCTGTGGCGCTGATCGATCGACTAGATCGCGGAGCGCCGGCAGCGCGTCACAGATCACCGGGTTCTGGCACCGCCAGCAATTAGAGCAATGAAATCGAGCGCGCGCGCGATTGTGAGGTAATTCGCAGGGGGAATGCGCTGGATTTTGGTGTGAATGCGCAGGCGATTGGTATTCTCGCGAATCGCCCGCGCTTGGAAGAAACCATAGCCAAGAGAAATGTAGTGTTTCGCTGAGTGATGAAATCCCTGGGTATTATGGATTCCTGCCGGAGCAGCCAGGTCCATGCGGATGTTTGCGTGGATAAGGCCACATTCGACCCCAGATTGCCTCTCAAGGCCGGCTCTAAGGCGGATGGAGAGTCCTGTTCATATAGCGGGTAAGCAAGCAACGCACTAAGGAAAAAAAAAAGATAGAATTTTCCCTTGCTTGTTCTGCCTATCTGATGCTTTTTTCGTTTTCCAGATTGTCCGTTTCTCAGTTAGCGGATCCTCCCATTCAACCGTATTACAAGCCCGTGGACTACGTCGACACTCTCGGCCAAGTCCACCAAGAGCTAGAAGTTTCGCCCGATCATGACAAGTCCAGACTCTACTTGGAGCAGTCGTTTGTTTTCAGAGGCTTGGGTGAGCTCAAGCTGCTCCGGCGAAGCCTCCGATCAGCCTGGCAGCACGCGACGTCAACTCACGAGAAGCTTGTGTACGCGTCATGGTTAAAGTATGAAAGACGAGAGGAAGAGCTGGATAGCAAGTCAGCCGACTGCTGCGGCGTTGGCAAGCTAGATCTTCCACAACTGGAGGGTGCGGATGATCTGCTGCAAGCTTGCTCAACGTCTGGCTCACATGACGACGATATCGTTTTTCTCTTCGGATCAGAGCGGGTCCACTGCAACAGGCAAAAGATTGCAGCATTATCAGCCCCGTTTTACGCAATGCTAAATGGCTGCTTCACGGAATCTCAGACTCGTGCCATTCAGTTTTCCGAGAATGGCATTTCGGTTGTGGGGATGAAAGTGGTGGATACTTTCAGCAAGACAGGGACGCTGGGTCGACTGCCGCCTAAGATTATTTTGGAAGTTCTGTCGTTTTCAAACAGGTTTTTTTGCGAGAGGATGAAAGTTGCTTGCGACCAAAGCTTAGCAGCTCTTATACACAACCTGGACGATGCTATAGCGTTCGTCGACTATGGATTGGAGGAAACTGCACAGGTACTTGTTGCTACATGCTTGCAAGTTTTTCTAAGGGAGCTGCCTTTATCTTTGCGGAATCCGAACGTCTCGAAACATTTCTGCAACGCGGAGTCTAGGAAGAGATTTATCGCAGTGGGGCACTCGTCTTTTGCGTTGTACGCTCTACTGAGCCAGGTGGCTATGGAAGACGATATCAGCTCTCAACTCTCCGCCAGCCTTCTCTGTCAGCTCAGGGATTGTGCGTCGTCATTTCGGCAGAGAGCTCTAGTGTATCACCAGCAGGGCTGCGTGATGCTGGCCAGGAAGCAATACAAGGAAGCACTCGAGTTCTTCCAAGCGGCTGCTGAAGAAGGCCATGCCTACTCTTGCGCTGGGATCGCCAGAGTAAAGTTGAAGTGTGGGGACAAACAGGCTGCTTTCAAAGAGACTACCTGCTTGATAACTTGCTACAAGGCTTGTGGCTGGATGTACCAGGAAAGATCTCTATACGGCAGCGGGAAAATGAAGATGGCCGATCTCGACAAGGCAACCGAGCTCGATCCGACATTGACATATCCTTATAAGTACCGAGCTGCTGCCTTGATGGACGATCACAAAGTGGTGGAAGCTATAGCAGAGATCAATCGGGTTTTATGCTTCAAGGTGACTCCTGATTGCTTAGAGCTACGAATTTATTTCTGCCTTGCACTGCAAGACTACGACGGAGCAGTGCGAGATATTCGAGCTCTTTTGACTCTCGATCCAGCTTATATGATGTACACTGGTCGTGTTAGCGCAGCGCAACTTTTGGTGCTCTTGAGCGAGCACGTCGACCAATGGACAAAGGCAGACTGCTGGATGCAGCTATATGACAGGTGGTCTTCTGTAGATGATATTGGCTCGCTTGCGGTTGTTCATCAAATGCTGGAAACGGATCCTGGAAAAGGCCTTCTTTACTTCAGGCAATCACTTCTCCTGCTCAGGTAATTTTTATCGATGTTTCTTGTGCTCTCTGGGACTCACACCTCTGCCTGTTGCACAGATTAAGCTGTCCGAAAGCTGCAATGCGGAGCTTGAGACTTGCGCGGGAGCATACGACGAGCGTTCCTGAAAGACTAGTGTACGAGGGCTGGATTTTATATGATACCGGCCATCGGCAGGAAGCCTTGCAAAAAGCAGAAGAATCCATCAGCATTCACCGGTCGTTTGAGGCCTTTTTCCTGAAAGCTTATGCGTTGGCAGATACTAGCCTGGATCCAGAATCGTCAACCAAGGTTATAAACCTTTTAGAAGAAGCATTGAGATGTCCATCAGATGGACTCCGGAAGGGTCAGGTAATCCTTCCATGTTTAGTTCGTGAAAGCTTGCTCACTCTTCAAACTTTTTCAGGCGTTAAACAACTTGGGAAGTGTCTACGTCGATTGTGGCAAGTTCGACTTGGCTGCCGATTGCTACGTAAGTGCCCTCAAGATCCGTCACACACGAGCACATCAGGGCCTCGCACGGGTGCACTTCCTCCAAGGTGACAGGAAGTCCGCCTACGATGAGATGACGAAGCTGATAGAAAAAGCATGCAACAAGGCCTCGGCTTATGAGAAACGCTCCGAGTACTGCGAACGGGACATTGGCATTTCAGACTTGAATATGGTGACGAAAATTGATCCGCTTCGTACCTATCCATACAGATATCGAGCCGCAGGTTAGCCTCATCTTTTTCGCACAGGCTTTGGTTTCTCAATATTTCAGTTCCACCTGTGCAGTGTTGATGGATAACCACAGAGAACAGGAAGCTATAGCAGAACTTTCAAAAGCCATTGCCTTCAAGGCCGACCTTCAGTTACTACACTTGCGTGGAGCTTTTTACGAATGCGTGGGTGATGTTGCGGCAGCACTCCGCGACTGCCGGGCCGCCTTGTCTGTGGATCCACACCACACCGACACGCTCGAGCTCCAGAACAAAGTCATGCAAGTCCGGGCGTGAAAGCACTCCGTGTACCACTACTGCTACAACGTCTACAAGCTTAGGAAATGTACAATGATCGGCACTTTGATGATCGTCTATCTCGTCTGCTCAACACCTTGCTACTTTTTAGCTTATAGCTGGAGAGACACCAAACGGCGCCTTGTCCCTCCAGCGAAGTTTGCAAACTGGTAAATGTATCATTCACAATAAGCAGATTCAATTTATTCTTTACGTTCCCTTTTCCTTCAAACTTTGCAAGCTGATGAGTCTCGTTTCTTTCATTCTTGATGCCAGAGTGAAGATCACAAACTGGGAGTTTCTTTTATACAGGTGAATCACTGGATCTGTCTCGAAAGGTCATTTTGGCTAGCTATAAACTTGTGTAAGGCTTTCTTGTTCTTACACTCTTGGGCTCCAGGGGATTAGAGCAAGCGAAAGATTGTCTCACTGGTGATTCGAGCAATCCTTGTCTCCTATTCTTTCATCACCATATAGTGGTGACTTTGATGGTGCTCGAAGAATTTCTTTGATGTGTTCTCTTTAGTTTGATCAATTCTTTTGTGCCAACGAAATTTTCTTCTCGGTAACAACCATTCGAAGACGACAAATACGAGAACTCGACGACCATGCAAGCCTTTGATTCCCGTGCCATCTGAGCCGCTGTCCCGAGACTGCCAACGGCGGAGATGTAGATAAACCGATTTGGCGCATCTTGACCGTTTGGAGCGGGGCGGGTATCCGACGGTCTCCTTTTGTTAGTCAAATTAAACCCAAACTGTTGACACAAATGCTGGGAGGTGAGAGCGAGCGAGCGAGAGAGAAGGGGTATTGATATCCATCGATCAATCCATCCCGTGAGCATTTGGGTCGCTAGCGCTCATCGAATCCGAGCTCGCATTGGGGCGAATTGGCGGGGCTATGGCGTCCACAGCTGCAATGGGGCAGGCCACCACGATCCCAGCGTCTCTGAGCGGCCTCAAGAGCATGGAATCGGCTCCCAGCTGCCTCAAGCAATCGCCCACAAAAGTGGGAGGTAGCGCTGCCCGATTGAGAAGGCGAGGTCGGATTACCACCCGGAGCATGGCTCAGGATGTCGTGGAGATGGAGCCGGCATCGCAGAACAGTCCTCTTCTAGGTGAGATTAAGATTCTAGCTGAAAGTTAGAACAAGGAACAAGCTAGCTAGCATTCTCCTTCTCCTTCTTCTTCTTTTCTTTCTTTTCTTTCCTGACTGTTTTGGATGGATTGTTTCGTTCAGTGCCGAGGCAAAAGTACTGTGAGTCCGTCCATAAAACGATCCGTCGACAAACTAGCACTGTGATGGTTGGAAACGTCGCTGTTGGTAGCGAGCATCCAATTCGCGTCCAAACGATGACCACTACTGATACCAAAGATGTTCTGGGAACTGTTGATCAGGTAAAGAACAAATAGAAAGTTTCGAGCTTTTCACATCTTTCTTTCATCCAGGTTATGAAGATAGCTGATAGAGGCGCAGATATTGTGCGAATCACTGTGCAAGGGAAAAAGGAAGCAGACTGTTGCTACGAGATTAAAAACACTCTTGTCAAGAAAGGGTATGAAAACTTACTTCCGATTCTCTAGCTCGTTCGGTTTTTGGTGATGATCTTTGTTTTTATTTGCAGATATTCTATTCCCTTGGTTGCAGATATCCACTTTGCTCCATCGGTTGCGCTCAGAGTTGCCGAATGCTTCGATAAAATCCGCATCAACCCCGGAAACTTTGGTGAGTTTCTTGTTTAAGTGAGGCTTTATGACCATTTGACGATCTTCCAGCCGATCGAAGAGCACAGTTTGAGACGCTCGAGTACACGGAAGACGATTACCAGAAAGAGCTAGAACACATCGAAGCAGTATGTGAATCATATATGTTCTTGTCGATTGAAATTTACATCGCTATGTAACAACCGACCGCAGGTTTTTACTCCTCTCGTCGAGAAGTGCAAGAAGTATGGCCGAGCGATAAGAATTGGCACGAACCACGGCAGCTTGTCCGACCGCACCATGAGCTACTACGGCGACTCACCAAGAGGAATGGTAATTCTTCAGTTTCTTTTTCTTTTCTCATAACTGATCTTCTCTTCGTTTGCATTGTAGGTGGAATCAGCGTTTGAGTTTGCACGGATTTGTCGAAAGCTCGACTTTCACAACTTCCTCTTCTCGATGAAAGCAAGCAATCCGGTGGTGATGGTTCAAGCGTATCGTTTGCTGGTGGCTGAAATGTACGTAAACGGATGGAACTATCCACTGCACTTGGGAGTCACTGAAGCTGGCGAGGGTGAAGACGGCCGCATGAAATCCGCGATTGGAATTGGAGCTCTTCTACAAGACGGGCTTGGTGACACTATTCGTGTTTCGCTCACGGAGCCACCGGAAGAAGAAATCGATCCCTGCACAAGGCTTGCAAATCTGGGAATGCGTGCATCGTCTTTGCAACTCGGAGCACCAGTACGAAGCTTTTCCTTCTTGCTACTCTGCTTCTCAACTCCATTTTCCAGGAGCAATTCGAGGAGAAACATCGTCGCTACTTTGATTTCCAGAGAAGAAGTGGACAGCTACCGCTTCAAAAGGAGGTTGGTCTATTCAAGCTTATGTATTTAATGTTCTACGTTTTGATTGGCTCTCTTTAGGGAGAAAGTGTCGACTACCGTGGCGTGTTGCATCGCGATGGATCTGTTCTTATGTCCGTGTCTCTGGATCAACTCAAGGTTTGATATAAAATCTTTACTTTCTGTGCTCTATCTGACACAATATCAATCGTCTTGGCAGAATGCGGAGCAGTTTTACAGGTCTCTCGCAACGAAACTTATCATAGGAATGCCTTACAAGGTACTGGATTACTTGCTGTTCATGTGGAGTTTCTCGCTGAAAGTTATTGATCAAACAGGACGTTGCTACTGTTGATTCGATCCTGCTCAAGGAGCTTCCAGCTTTAGACGACAAGCCATCGGTTCGTAAAAGGTTTTGAGCTTGCAGCCAGTGACCGCTAACTTGATCTTTGCAGAGGCTTACACTCAAAAGGCTGGTGGACATAAGCATGGGAATACTGACTCCATTGTCACAGCAGCTTGAAAGACCACTTCCTCACGCCATAGCTCTCGTCACACTCGAAGAAGTTGCGTCCGGTGCTCACAACCAGCTTCCTCAAGGTTTGTTTTCCTTTGGTTTGTTTTCTTTCTTTGATGAAGTTTCTTTTTTTCGCTCAGGAAGCCGTATTGCTGTGATTGTACATGGAAATGAGCCATCGGAATTGCTGGAGCTGCTCAAAACGGTGGATGCGGTAATGCTGCTGCTTAACTCGCCACATGAAGAGACAGTCAGCCATGTCCACAACGCACGAAGGTTTATTTTCAAGTCGGCACTAAACTTCTTCTTAACTTGAAAGCCCTTTTGCAGGTTGCTCGAGTATCTCCAGTCGAATTCTCTAAGCTTTCCAGTTATCCACAACTTGGAATTCAAGCAAGGCCTTCGCAGGTACGACACAAGTTTCTTTCTTTGTTGTTTCCTTATTCCTAATGGCATTCTTTTTTCTCAGGGATGATTTCGTGATCAAGGCTGGAAGCGAAGCAGGAGCTTTGCTAGTGGATGGTCTGGGCGATGGAATACTCCTGGATGCAGCCGACCAAGACTTTGACTTTGTTCGTTCTACTTCGTTTGGACTTCTTCAAGGCTGCCGAATGAGGAACACAAAAACTGTAAGTATGAGCTTGGAAGTCCTGGTTTTTCTCATATCTTTCATCTCCTCCAGGAATATGTGTCCTGTCCATCTTGTGGAAGAACTCTGTTCGATCTTCAAGACGTGAGCGCAGAGATCCGTGAGAAAACTTCGCATTTACCCGGAGTTTCAGTAAGTCACACACACTCCTTGTCGATGATATAACAATCTTTTCTTGCTGTAGATTGCGATCATGGGATGCATCGTAAATGGTCCTGGAGAGATGGCCGACGCTGATTTCGGCTATGTAGGAGGTGCTCCAGGAAAGATTGACTTATACGTAGGAAAGGTACGTTATTTTCTCCAGGGATAGTGGGAGCATTGGTTTAAATCATCGTTCTTTACAGCAAGTTGTCAAGCGTGGTATTGCCAAGGATCAAGCAACCGATGCTCTTATTCAACTCATCAAGGATCACGGCCGCTGGGTTGACCCAGAGGTAGACAACAATTAGCTTCGCTCAAGCTCGCAAAAGATTATTTTTTGAAGTCCCCCAAGTTTGAGAGAGCTCTGGAAGCGAAAAACACAGACAAGAAGAAGCTGCTGGCTTGAGATCCATGAAGAAAAGCTTACAAGTTTACAAGGATTTGTAGCTTGGATTCACCAGGTTCTCTATGCCGGAAGTCACTCTCATAGATTCGATTGTATCACCGACTTTGAGGTCTGCAAGATATTCTTGGTTTTGGACAACGTAGCCGAAGACCGAGTAGCGACCGTCTAGTATGTTGGCATTGCTCGGAGTGAGCTCGCTTTCTTTCAATAGCCAAAATATCTGGCTGGAAGCCGAGTCGTTCTCAAACTCCTGCAAACAAAGAAAATCTTCAATACACATAAAGAGGCCGTTTTTCTTACGTCGCGAGCCATGGCTAGCGTGCCAAACGCGTTGAATGGCAGCTTTGTTCTGGCCTTGTATCGTCCAAGTTCCTAGAAACACACAAACAGTGGTGCTAAAGGCATTGAAAATAACAGCAAGTGTACCTCCAGTGTGGCTCCGTAGATTGGCCCCTTGTCTCCGTCGACCATAATTTCCAAAGGAATGGTTCTTACTTTTCCCGTGCTTGGGTCGACAAAACCTTCAGCTGGTCCGGCAGGATCTCCCGTCTGGACAACAAATCCATCCGCTGCAATAAACAAGGAGTGAAGTCAATGGTTTTTAAACACTTGACAAAAGATCAATCACGTCATACCTCGCTGGATTTCCATTCCATCGTAGAAATGCCTCTCGACCAAGTCAAGGAAGTTTCCCGCTGTTACCGGCGCGTTGTATCCATCGGCAACTATCCGGAACACCACGCTTTGTACGTTGGGATTGTCCTTCACGTTAACTTTCATCTCCACTGTAGCTCTTCCCTTCAGGAGTGGTCTGCTGGCATACTCCTCCGGGACCTCAAACGGGAACTGTGCCACCATGTCCTCCTCTACACTGCAGAAATCCAACGCCAGCTGCATTCAATACCAGAAGTATTCCTCATGAGACACTAACAATATCACGCAGCCAGACACTTACTCTCCGACAATGTTGAGAAGTTCCGTTTGCTTTGGTGCCACACTCTCCTTGTCTGTCACGGTCTGAAAGTCCTGGAGCCCCGTCACAAGAGAACTTAGTAGCCCCTCAGCATGGCTCTTTTTCGCTTCGGCAACATCCGCAAGAATTTTCTCTTTGCTCTGGCTCAAGACGCGAGCAGCTTGCCTCACATTCTATGCCACACAGAATTCTCATTAGAACGCAAACAGAATGAGAAACAAAAACCAAACCTTTTCAACGCTGTCAAGAGCTCTCGGCCCAGGAACTTTCAAGTTCTCGGTTATGTCCTCGAGAGATCTTTGGACCTCCCTGATCGGCTTGTTATTGATCGGCAGTCCATACCTCAAAAGCGCCGAAGGATCCTTGATCGGAGGACCCGATATGAGAACGGCCACATCCGACACGGCAGGACCTCTCGCAAAGGCATGGACCACCTGAGGCCTCAAGGGCAGCGCAAACGTAGCAGCCAGTGCCACACACACGGCATACTTTTGGAAAGCTTTCATCAACAATCCATCGCCATCTCCCTGTCATTCGAGAGAAAGAACGAAATGAGAATGCGATTGACAACGATGATTGTTACTGACCTCGCCAGTACCGCATTGCGCTCGGCATTGCATCGATAACCTACATTTCTTCCGCGGCACTGCCCTGAGCTGCTGCGATCCATCGGCACAGCCGGCCGGATCCAGGCGCTGGAGCTTGAACGAGGAGGAGGAGGAGGCGCAATATTCTAACCTAAGAGGCCGCCACACGCACATCGCCATAGCTGCGGGATCACTAGAACAGCCACTGGAAGGGATAGAATTCCCAGAACACGTGGATCACGTTATCGGGATAAAGCCAGCTGTACACTACCCTAATTAGGGCAAAGGTGGACGCTAGAAGAATCGCGGGGAGTACAAGTGTGTGGGTGGCGTGCGGTACACCGCGGAGCCGGGCGGTGTCGCCGGCGGCGTACCGGGTGGCGACGTGTTGAGCAGCAGCATCATCATGGTCGTCCGCGACGCCGACGTGGCGGGTGACGTGGCGTGCAGCCGGCGGCTCAGCTTGTTGCCCTGGGGCGAGGGGATGAAGATCGTGCAGTGCATTGGCGGTTCTCGCGCTAGGGCTTTGATGCCCGGGGATGGCGTCGGCGATGGCGTGGCGGGCGGCGTGGAGAAGAGCGATGGCGACGAGGGCGGTGTCACGAAGGGTGTGGCGATGGGCGATGGCGTCCCCGGTGGCTGCTGCTGCTGCTCCAATCCCTGGATGAGGGCGAAATCCAAGGATGCATTGCGGCTGGATCGCATCGTCACCGTCTCGGATTCGATCTCCTCCTTGGTCTCCTCGCGGATTGTGAAGAGGAAGCGAGGAGGACCCATGAGGTAGTCGCCGACGGCGGGGAAGAGCTTGGTGGACGCGAGCTCGCCCGGGAAGGATTGGTGGCGATTGGCGATCACGCTCACCTCTCGCAGCTCCAGTTCCTCGTCAGGGCGATCGAGCTCATTCAGCTCTTGTGGATGATACCGCTGTTCTTGGCTGTGTGCCTCGAGAAGCGATGTTTCCTGCTGCTGATTGCTGCTCCTATCCATGATCCTGTGAGCTACATTCTTCCTCTTCTTCCAGCAAACCAGATAGTAGAGCTCGCCGACCAAAACGAGCACGAATCCCACGAAAACTACACTCAGCCCGATCCCAAGAGCACCCAAAGAGGATCCCATTTTCTTTCCACCCGATCCACTGCTGGATCTAAATCTATCTAACCTTCTGGATGGGAATTAATGATTCCACTGGCGCGCATCAACCACCATGCCGCATTTTTCTGAATCTAGCTAGCCTCGATCAATTTGAGGTGCTATTCTTGCCAGCTTCTTGTTTTGGCCCAAACGCTGGGATTCCATCCAAATCCTCTCAAATCAACCAGTTGGGCCTAGCGGCATTCCTACCCTCATCTCTGCGACCCTCGAATCCATCGGAATTGGAGCTCGAGTTTCGAGAATCGAGCTCCCCTGTTTTCTATCGGGATTGGAGCGGCTGCCTACAGCTGAAATGCTTACTCAAATTCCCGCACCAAATTCGGTGATTCTTCCCCGATCTTCGTAGTCGAATTGCGCTTGGGCGAGCGAGCGAGACAAGGAATGGAAAAGGGAAAAGAGTGAGAGCTCTCTCGGGCTTCTCATGCTCTTTCGAATGCTTTGCTTTGCTTTTTTTCTCCTTTTTCATCTCTCACTTTTGTTGCTGCTGCCTGCGAATTTTTGTTTCTTGTTGGAAGGGGCAGAGCAGCAGCAGTAAAAGGAGAGCGTGTGTTGTGTCAGTCCGCTGGCTCGAAACAGCAGGAATTAACAAAATTATCGCTACGCTGCGATTTATTAGCTCCATGCCAAAAAAGGGAGCTCCCACTCTCTCTCTCTCTCTCTCTCGGCCTCGAATCGATGATCGCTGATAAAATGCGATGGATTCTTCCTCCAAAATCACACAATCGAGCTTCCCATTTGTAAGACATTCCAAATTCCCATTCGCATCCATGGGACAGGGATGATAGAGGCGAATATCCCCCTCTCCATTCAAACCTGTGGTACGGCGTGATCGTCGCCGTAGGATGCCAACGGCTCAGATGCGTTTCTCCGTACCATGACGTAGCCGCCACGCCGGCCCTGTTCTGTTAATTTTTTTCCACGAGCGTGTCTCGACGGACGATGACAAGAACAAAAATCTTCCCTGTAGCCCAGATTATATGTCTTGACTTCGATGATATGATTTTTCTATAAGCGGTGAACAGCTCACCTCCAATTCAGAAGGCGAGGACGTACTCATCCGTTCCTTCTCGGGTACATGTGTGTCCCGCTTTACATACGACTTTCTTCTCTTTTTTTTTCTCGCAAAGAATCTGGAAAAAAAAAAGCCAATGACACGATCTCTAGGACTCAAAATCTCTTACCGTAGCTAACCGAAGTCTTTGTACAATGGGGCGCGGAAGATCGAGGTTTGAGATTTTCCACATCGCCCCCCATCGCTTGAACAGTGACGAAGATTTCAAACCTCGAGCCTCCACACCTCTGCGTTGGTGTGCGCTATTGACAACAGCGCAAGCCATAGGCATATAGCGCTTCATCAGCTGACGAGACAAAAGCAGATAAGTTAGTTCGCAGGCCACCAAAGTTACGTCTAGGAACTTATAACTTACGGTATTTTGTTTGTTTGCATCAGCAATCGCAAACGCAACCGCAAAGCGCAGAATGGTGGCATGTCGCAATCGGCGAACGTGGAGCCAGGATAATCGATCGTGAGGAGTTTATGCCTGCCACCTTTGCGCCTTTTGACCAAGCTGCGCAGGAATAGCGAAAGAGTTAGAAGCCGGATACGAAGTTTAAAAACTTGAGAGCAGCTGACTAACTCTAGCGAATGGAAAAGAAACCAAGAAAACTGGTTAACCTCGCGCTTACCGCCGACAAATGGCAAAAGAAAAAGCGTACCTTGGAAATGCTTGAGATTCTTCCAGAGAAGAGGTCGCGCTCCAGCAACACGGAAAAGGCCGAGTGAGGCTCAACAGTGTTGCGTGCATTACCATATTCTTGGCCCCCGCATTGCATAGATGTCCTCTAAAGTCAGTCCTTTCTGAGCACCTCTTTTTCTTTCCTGCCTGCTTTCCCCCAAACCTCTTATTTTCCGTGTGCCGACCTCTTATCAGATTGACTGATTCAAGTTGTTTTGTAGCTCGTAGATACCCTCTACTCCCCCACAAATCGTTTTCCCTTCCCCAAGGAAAGTCACCAGCGTTTGTTTTCATGTCTCAATCTGCACATAATTCCCTGCTGCTCGCCACAACCGCTGCTGTTGCTGCTGCTACTGCTGCGGCTGCTTTTCGTGCTGCAAAAGCTCCTCATTCCCTTGTTCTTGAAGAGCTCTGAGCAAGGGGGTGTGCAGTCATCCGGTTCCAAGTTGAGGAAGAAGCGCAGCTGGATCATATGGTAATAATTCACCACTTTTGCCATCAAGGATGCCCTGGTGTTGCGTCAGGCGAGGCAGCAGCACGAGTACCAGCAGCAGCAACACCACCAGGCTCAAGGATGCGGCTATGATAGCAACTTGCTTCATCTCCTTTGTGGCAGCCTTCGCAGTAGCCATGACCACAATTGCTCACAGCGGCGCAAAGAACCTGGCAGCTTCGGTGAGCATACTGGGATCCATAATCTTGGTGCCACCAGTCCTGGTAAGTTTGTTCCTTTCTCGACTTACTACCAGACGCGGTAGTCCCGGTCAGTCTGACGACGAAGAAGACGCGGCCGCCGCTCTTGAGCTGGAGATCCAGGCGCAGCAACAGCTATGGTGGTTCCAATTCCAGGAGTTCGCAATGGAGGACGTCGCTGTGAATCTCCTCGAGCTCCAGGAGCCCGGTAGAGTGAGCTTCCATGGCTGCTTGCGGCTTGGCCCCGACAGTATGCAGGAGGTGTCGATACGGAAACTGGAGCTCACCAAGGCCGTTGACCTGCTTACACACCTAGAATCCGCGGAAATCCGGCAGGAAACTGTCAACCTTGGATCTCTTCGGAGATGTAACGTCCTGCCGCTCCTGGGCTTCAGCCTCACTCACTCATATCTGCTACTGTTCATGCCGAAGTTGAGGAGCCTCACTGACGTGCTCAGAAATTCCAGCCTGAGTTGGAGCTGTCGCTGCCGAGTTGCCGCCTTGGTTGCGAGAGGCCTATCCAGGCTTCACTACTCGAGAGAAGCAGCGGCGACGAGTAATGGGCCAGCAAGCAGTGTGGTGACGGCGGTTCTCCATGGGAATATCCGGTCAGAAAACGTCCATCTCCTGCTGGAAGAAGCCACTGACGATTCACCCCCGACATGCACCCCCTATATCGCGGACACCGGATTTGTGAAGCTCACTTCCATGCCGATTTTCCGCCCCGACGAGATGATCACAAATACTCGAGGCTATGCTGCACCAGAAGTGTCCTCTGGAGGGGCCTTGACGACCAAAAGCGAAGTCTATAGCTTCGGAGTTGTACTCTGCGTGCTGCTCTCCGGACAAACGGACGTCGCGGCATTGAATCCCGTGGCCTTGCTGAAGCAAAAGCTGAAACGACTTATGGATCCCAAGTTGGAGAAGTCGTACAACGGGAGTCAGGCACGAACGATCCAGCAGACAGCTCTCAAGTGTATTCAGAGAGATCCCATGCAGAGACCGGACATGATACGGGTGGAGGCTTGGCTGCGATCTTTGCTGCTGCACACGTGAGCCGGCGATGGTCCTAAATCTGGGTGAGCGGAAACATCTGCTCTGTGAGATTCTGTGCTGCACTTTCAGTCGGAAGGCCTCGGACAGCTCCGATAGTCCACTGAGATATAACTCCCGCAGCAACTACGAACCTCAAGGCCCTCTCAAGCCGGTCCTGATCTTCGAAAATATCAGGCTGGGCCACCAGCTTTCTGATAATCGCTGAAATGGAAAACACGATGGTAGTTAGTATAAAAACTATACAAGCACAACGAGCGGATAACTTACCGGCAGAGATGGTGTCACCAGACCCTGTTCTGTCGCAGCTGAAAGCAGAGACAATCACATCTTCCGTGCCAACAACGTCGCCGTGAAACTTTGGAGTATAGTAATGAATCCTGTACGTACCATCCGTGACGAAGAGAATTTTGATGTTGTCACGCCATATCGGAGCAATCTGCTCAAGGGTGTAGTGGTACTCAAACCGCTGATTTTTCCGGGCCTGAAATTCTTCCCATGATGAAGCTATGGAGTCCTTAGCGAGAAGCCTCATCGCTAAGCCTTCGTCTTCAATCAGGAACTCAAGCTCCACCTTGTTGATTTTGATAATGTCCGAGCTCGTCCACGCCTTCTCGATAGCTTCCCACGTCGCTTCTCGTGATATCCAGAATGGAAGAGGGAAGTTCACATCAAAGAATATGAGCGAGCCAAAGCCTCGGGCAGCGTCGATAGCGGACATGAGTGTCGAGCACATTTTTTCCGTTGTCAAGCTGATCGATGAGAAATGGAAAAGTTTCGCCTGAGAGACAAGAAAAAACATGAGTCTCACACCTAGAACAAAAGCAAATGCCTTACCTCCTTGAGAATGTCCATGTTAACCTCGGACATGTCAAGGTTGTTTTCAGCGCTCTCGCGTAGGCATTGCATGGATAGTTTGCGCTTCCCAAGCCGTTCAATCTTCCACCGTGACAGAGACGAGGAACGTAGCTGGTCGACTATCACACCCTTCGTTTCGACTTTGTTTTCTCGTAGAGTCTCGAGAAGCTCCTTGCCGAGATCGTCATTGCCAAGTTTGCCAATGAAGGCTGCCTTCCCAGCGAGACGAGCAATCGAGATAGCAACATTGGCAGGCGATGTCCCTGGGCTTCGTGCGAACTCCGGAGGCATCCACTGCAAGCCTTTCCACGTAGAGTAGGCATCTTCGTCCATCTGCTTTACGCACACCCGGACGGAAGGAATGAAGTCCTTGTACGCCTCGCCAAAGCAGCAAACCAGAGGATTTGGTTCGTTCCTAGGCTTTACGAAAGTCTCCTCGAACTCCCTTCCCAGCCATGGAAACTGTTTCTTCCATAGCCTTCGCGCTGGGTTCCGGAAGAAACTTTTCCTCTTCTCCACCTCTTCTGGATCTTCAAACTCTGCTGCTTCCACCTCCACCTCCGCAGCTCCACTGCTAGATAGAAATCTATCCTCTTTGCCTGCTTGGATCAAAGAATCCTCATGCTGTCCGGTACCACTACCTGTGAGAGGATTTCTTCTCCGGGAAACGCTACTGCTTGCCGCCTCGGAAGAAGATGAAGATTTCTTCCGGCGGGGAGCCCCAGAGCCCTCGGAAGCCAATTTCTTGGCCGCATTCTTCTTCCTGGGCTTCTTCTCCTCTGGAGCGGCATCAGGCTGCTCCACCATCGCCCTAGCGCCGTGATTTCTCTGGAATCTACAGCGGCCGAGGAGCGCACACGAGACATTACCGGCATAGACGAACGGAGCTCCGACCGCCATCGCTCTACATCCAAAAACCTTATAAACCCTAAAGACGTTTGAAATATTTCGAATGTAAGGGATTCTAGGCAAATGTAGGTGCTAGGGATCAATCAATCGAGCACGGATGGGCGCCGGTCGCCACACTCAGACGGTCCTCGTCGATTCGACATGGAATGGCGCAGCATTCCATTACCGCGGCCTCCATCCTCGTGATCTTGGCGCGGTGATCTTCGTTTGCAACGGCGAGACGATGGAGGAGTGCCTGAGGAAGAATCTTTTCGGACTGCCGCGGCCACACATCGCCTACGTCCAGCACATCGACGCAGGGATGCCCCTCTTCTTGTTCAACTACGACGATCGATCGCTCCACGGCGTCTTCGCGGCCACTGGCAGGGGCGCCCTCTCGATCGATCCTCACGCCTGGAGCCCCAACGGTAGCGCGCCGACGAAGTACCCCTGCCAGGTTCGTGTCCGGCTGGAAATCCAGTGCGCTCCACTGCCGGAGAAGGTTTTCTCGAGAGTGATCAAGGAGAACTACGTCTCCGCGGGGCGATTCATGTTCGAGCTTACCAGGAAGCAAATGCACGAGCTTGTGGGACTCTTCACCAAGGGAAAGGTAGCATCTTCTTCGAAGAGCCCTGTGGTGGCTCCTCCTCCTCTTCCTCCGCCACCAAGCAACAGAGCTCCCACGGCGTGGAAGCAAGTGGTAGCAGCTCCTCCTCCGGCTGTTCTTCCTCAAGCGGCGCCGCCACCACCACCACCGCCAGCAGCTGTGAAGTCCGAGAATTTGCCACCTCCGAGTCCGAGTCCTCGAGCGCCGCCACCACCTTCCAGTGATGCAGATCAAGAGTACATTGTTCCGGCAGTTCCTACAGCACAACTCGTGGTCCAGGAGGCTCTCCACTCCGAGGACAATTCTACAGTGCTGGATCGTATCCTCGAGAAGCTCAAGGTTGTCGATCCTCCCGAGGAGAAGAATGTCTCGGCTTCCTCGTCGTCTCAAGAGATCATCTTTGGCGCCGCGATTCCTACCGACATGGGGAGCTTGATGCTAGCTTCCGGAGGGCAGTTTGATCCTTCCGTCGCGAAAGCGGTGGATAAAAGCTTGCGGCTGTGCTCCGACGCTGTGGCGGAGATGCGTGAGACCGAGATCCGGCTGGGCAAGACGATGGAGGAGCTGAGAGTGAAAGGGGAGTGTCTCAAGGAGCTGGATGCTGTCCGAGCCAAGAACTTGGAGCTTGCCAACGTGAGCATCAGCTTGTCGGGGCAACTCCAAGAGCTCAAGGCGGAGGTGGCGGCGGTGAAGCGCTTGGCCACGTTTCAGGCGTTGTATCTCATCGGTGGCTCCAGTGGCGAAGGGAAAGATCGCTCTGTGGACAAGTTCGTGCTGCGTACCGGCGAGCTTTGGCAGGCGGCGCCTCTGCTAGCACCACGATCGTGTTCCGCGGCCGGAGTTTTGAGTGGGAAGATCTACGTGTTTGGAGGCACCATTGGAGAGACCAACGTGACCTCGACCGAGCAGTATGATCCGGAAGAAAACGTCTGGAGTGTGGTGAGCAAGCCGATGGTCAAAGCTCGCGCATACCACGGAGGAGCCGTGGTTGGAAGCAGGATCTTTGCTCTCGGTGGTAGAAACGACACTGCCTTCCTCTCGGAGACGGAGTCATTCGATCAGGAGGTGGGATGGATGGCTTCGGTCCCAATGATGGAGAGACGAGGCGCATTCTCTCCGGTGGTGGTGGAGGGATCGATCTACGCTTTCGGTGGAACAGACGGGAACCTCTACCTCGACTCGGCCGAGCGGTTTGATCCACGCGAGGGCATCTGGAGGAGCCTTCCGCCGATGAGCTCCAAGCGGCTGTGGTTCCAGTCGGCTGCCTGGAACAACAAAGTCTACGTGCTCGGGGGCCACGATGGTTGCGACTACTTGGCGAATGTGGAGCGCTTTGATCCTCGCGCTGGGAAGTGGGAGACGATCAAGCCACTGGCTGGGTCGAGAGCTCACGGTGCTGCGGCGGTGGTGGACGGATCCATTTGCGTGGTGGCGGGGCTGGACAAGAAGCATCACTTCGTCAACACCATCGAGTGCTACGGTGAATCGTCGAGCTCGCGAGTGATCGAAGTTTGTGATCTCCACCAGCGCAGCTTGTTCTCCCTTGGAGTGATCTGATCGCCGGTATGGTTTTTCTTCGCTATCTCTCTCACACTCTTTCTTCTTTGTTTGACAAGCTTAATAAGTTTCGTTTTGCGATAGATAGATTTCATTTCCTTGTAGAAAACCTTTTAGAGAAACATTTTAGGGCTGGAGGGAGTGATGGCCGGCGATGGCGCTGGCGATGGCTCTGGCGGTGCCCCGCGACGGCTCAAGGGCAAGCTCTGCCGCGAAGAGGTAGCAGTAGTGCTAGCGGCAGTGGCAACGGCAGTGGTTCTTGTCCAGCGATTCGTGGATGAGCACAGCTTGCTTGTGCTTCTCCCCGGCAATGCTGCGGCCGCCCTGGAGTCGTCAATGCAGGCTACCAGCAGCGCGCTCGCGAAGCTCCAGACTATGTTCTCGCTCACGGCGGCGAGCGATGCCGCGGCCGCCGCTGCTGATCCGGCCATCGCCAGCGACGATGATCGCCAGCTCCATTCTTCCTCGTCGAGCCTGAGAAAGGCCGTCCATGCGATGGGGGATACGATCGCTCCTCCTCGGTTTCACGATGTTTTCCAAAGCGGTGACGATGTCCACTGGAAGGCGAGCTTCCGGATGTCTCGGGCCAGTTTCGCGAGGCTGCTGGAGATTTTAGGCCCGGTTCTCGAGAGACAAGAGCCCGCTGACATCCCCGCCGATCGAAAGCTGGCCGCGACGCTCTACCGCTTGGCTCACGGCGCGACCATCAAAGTCGTAGCTCGCAAGTTTGGAATCAGCACTGGCAGCTGCTCCAAGGCCTTCTACGACGTTTGCAAGGGATTGGAGGAGAAGCTGGGCCACCTGTTCGATTTCCCGACGTCGAGCGAGAGATTGACGAGCATCTCCGGCGAGTTCGCCGCTGTAGGATTGCCACACTGCTGTGGAGCTCTTGGCTGCACCAACTTTGCCGTGGAGAGGCCGCCGGGAGAAATGGGGATCGACTACTTCGATCACACCAGGAACTACAGCGTCGTGATGCAAGGGGTGGTGGACTCTCGCTCGCGGTTTCTCGACATCTCGGTGGGCTGGCCGGGATGCATCCCTCCCGCCGCCATCCTTCTCAAGACGAGGTTCTACTCGCGAGTTCGAGAGAGCCATGAACTTCTCCAAGGACCTCCGCTGGACCTCGGTGGTGGCATTTTCATTCCTCGCTACGTTCTCGGAGACCGCTCCTACAACTTGCAGCCGTGGCTCATCACTCCATACTCCCAGCCCGAGGATTCGAGCTTCGATCTGACTGCTCTCTTCAACAAGGCACACAGGCATGCAATGCGGCCGCTGCGTCGAGCTTTCGGGATGCTCAAGGAGCAGTGGCAGCTGCTCAAGACGACGCAGCGGGTGGACAGCATCGAGCTGCTGCCGTTCATCGTGGCGGCGTCGTGCGTGCTCCAGAACTTCCTCATCGACAACGGGGAGGCGATGCCCGAGGTGGAGGAGGAGCTGGAGCAGCGGGAGCCGGCGGTGGTGGACGGGGATCCAGACGTTTACGGGGAGAGCGTGCGAAGCGCTTTGGCAGGCTTTGTCGGGCAGTATCAAACAGCAATGGGATTTGGAGGAGGTCCAGTGCGATCCGTGGGTCAGATGGTGGTAGATGGAACGAGGAACGGCTAGTCAGTCAGTCGGACAGGATTGGGACACTACGCAGGTATTTCGGAGGCTCTCTCGGGCGGACTTTTTTTTTTTCTTTTCTTTTCTACTCATTTGTGGATGGTGGAAGGATTTCAGGAAGGCAAAGTTAGACAAAGACGCGGTGTTTGAAGCAGAATATCCAGCACACAGTCCTACGAGGCCGAGATTTAATGTCCGGGCAGGGAAGCAGGGCCGGGTGGTTTTCTTATCTTTGGGATTTGGAGGTGGCTTAAGTTCAAGTCAAAACAGCAGACTCGGGCAACAGGCCCACCCGTCACATGTGGAGGATATACAGGGGATATGCGTTCTGGATGGCTGAGTGCCGTTGGATCATCGTCTATTTCTCCCGTGGAATGGCATCCCACTGAAGGAGAGAGAGTGAGAGAGTCGGCGGCGGCTGTAGATTTTGTTTGGAGGGGCGGATGTGCTTTGGATGATGGTGGTTCAGTCTGGTTTGGAAGTGCTCATGGAGTTTTGGAACTGAGCTCTGTCTCTTCAGCTGCTGGTTTTTCGTGAGGGAGGTGGAGATTTTAGTTTCCTGGTAGCGGTCCTTTAAATTTTTATTTTTTTTCTTTTACTGTTAGAGGAGGAGAAATGCTGAGTGAGGGGGAGACTACTTTGGCAATGGCTGCTGGCTTGACAACAGTCGTACAGAATGGCTGTGTTGATGAGGCAGCAGGAGTGTTCGTAAGCACTGCAGAGGCAAAAGCCCCATGGAACAAGGACGAGGCAGCAAATGGTGCAGCTGAGTGTTCCAAGAGCAAAGCCAGGGATGGCTTGCTGGAGCTGCTGAACAAGTCAGGAGTACCTCCAGCGGCACAAGTAAGCATTTCTTTCCTTTCTAGTTCTAGTAGTCGTGCTTTTTTCGTTTTAGCTTAGGATTCCAGAGAGCTTTGAGATCTGTTGGTAAGATTTTGATGGGCTAGTCTTTGAGAACTGACGACGTGTTGTTTTATCCTCGACTTTGGCAGAGGATGGCTCTTAACATACTCGTGAAGCTTGTCCGAACGGAGGGTGGAAGGTTTGAAACTCATCTCTTTGCGAAGATTTTGTGCTCTCTGGTAAGCCTATTTCAATTTCTAGCTTCTATGCATCTCTAACAACTCGTATGCTGTGCAGATTGAGAGCAAAGGCACGATTGCCACTCCCCTAGATTGTTTGGCCAGCAAGTACTTTGTGTATGGAGACACAAGGTACGAGTTCGCTCTCGTCTGATGTATGGTTTTCGTAACATTCGCTTGTGTATCCAGATGTTGCGTGCTCGACAGGATACATCAGCTTGCCAAGAGTATCTCAGAAGGTAATCTGCTCAAGCTTTCGTTTGGCATCATTCTTCTCACTTCTTCGCAGGAGGAACTCGTGGTATTGAGCTGTTGAAGGTTTTGTACGGATATCTGTTTGACAAAAATCCTTTAACATGTGAGAACTCTCTTTGGAAAAATTGCCACGACGCTGACAGTATCAATGTTTCTTTATGTGCAGCGGCATGCCTGGCTGCTCCAGAATTCGAACAGGTACGAACTTTGCTCTTGTTTATTGCTGTTTCCCTGCAGTGTTTGCAATTACATTTAGTTTCGTTTTCTTTCTGTCGTCTCATTTTGTGGTCGTTGATACGTTGATCCAGCGATTTCATCTGATGGAGAAATGCTGAATTGCAGAAAGCCGCAGTACTTGAGAGTGATAAGCAGTTCCTGGAGCAGATTACAGCTTTTTGTTCTGCTCTCGCAACGGTACTCTTTTTATTTCTCTCTTTTTGTCAAGTTTTTTCACACGTAATTTCTTTTGTTTGACAGGAGCTTAATGGTCAAGGCGATGGTTGCCTGAGGTATACGAAAAGTTTTATTCTAAAGTGAAGTTCTCCCTCGCTGATTTGTTTGCTTCTCCAGAAACGCTAGCGTACTACGGATGCCGCAGCTCATATCTAGTCTTGTAGAAGAGAAAACGGTAGGGACTACATTCTTGACAAGACTGAACTTATATACGTTTTTTTGTAGAATGGCCGATGTAAAGCCAGTGTTGCAGACAATGCACTGCAAGATCCCGAGAAGACTGTGAATGGGGAGGATTTGTCAGCGCTGGTCCTCACAGCAGCAAGAGGCAGAGGCAGCGAGGCTAACACCGGTGGTGCTGTGAGAGCCGGGACTCCGAAAAAGAAAGTGAGCGACGAAGATGAAGTAGAAAAAGAGGAAGAGGAGGAGGACGGTGGTGGTGAGAGCGGTGGAGACGAAGGTGACAGCGATGATCCCGACCATGGTGGCAACGAAGAGGAGGAAGAAGGCGAGGAGGAGGAGGAAGAGGAAGAGGAGGATGGAGAAGAAGAGGAGGAAGATGGCGAGCAGCAACAGGGGGTTGGATCAAACGCTGCTGCTGCTGCTGCTGCTGCCGCTGCTGCTGCAAGAAACAACAATGCCATCGCCAGTGTTGATGGTGCTCCTGGATTCGACGAGGAAGAAGAAGAGAGCGATCAAGACGGTGGAGTGGAGGACGATGGCGAAGGAGCCGATGGAGGTGAGGATGAAGAGGACGACGATGGCGACGACGATGAAGATGGAGCTCCACCACCCAAGAAAGCCAAGAAATGAAGAGCGCCACATTTTTCTCTTCTTTGTCTTCTTTGTTTTTCGCGAACAAACACTCCTCACACACTGGTCGTTTTAAATTTGAAATTTCTAGCGATGCGAAGAGCCCTAAAAAGGGATTTGGAAGGCTCCGGGAATGGTTTGATCGATCGATCTATCGATTCGATCGCGACGCTTTTGTGCTCTTGCAGATCCAAGCCGTGTTCCTCGTGAGCCGCCAAGGGAAAGTGCGGCTCCAGAAATGGTACACTGCTTATCCAGGGAAAGATCGGCCTAAAGTAAGCGCCTACATTTTCTCTGATTTCCTCTTTGACTCTCTCTCTCTCTCTCTCTCTCTCTCTCTCATCCAATGCAGGCGATCAGAGAAATCACGAGCATCATTCTGTCCAGAGGAAGCAGGCTTTGCAATTTCATTGAATGGAAGGATTTGAAAGTCATCTACAAGCGGTAAGAAGCTCAAATCCTTTCTCTCTACGCGCTTGAGGTTTTGTTCTTGTTCTAGATATGCGAGCTTGTATTTTTGTATGTGCGTTGATGCCGACGACAACGAGCTCGACTGCTTGGAAGTCATACACCTCTTTGTGGAAGTTCTAGACCGCTACTTTGGCAACGTAAGCGTTTTTTTTTCTTTCGCTTCTTCTTCTGTAGACTTTACTTATATGTTTGTTTTATCTCGCTCTGGAATCCAGGTTTGCGAGCTCGACTTGGTTTTTAATTTCCACAAGGTCAGCCAGCGACTTTAAGTTTTGAGAGCAACGTCAATACTTGGTGTGGTTTTTTTTTCTTTTCTTTTTTCTTTCGTTTTTGTGTGTGTATGCAGGCGTATTATATCCTGGACGAGGTACTGCTGTCGGGAGAGCTACAGGAGTCGAGCAAAAAATCCGTGGCTCGAGTCATTTCTGCTCAGGTACACATTAACTTGTCTCTGGCTTTTTCTCTGTTCTTTCTTTTCTCCCTTTTAATGCCATTGTTTTTCCAGGACACCATGGTTGAGAAAGCCAAAGAAACCGGCATTTCCCACATGATGTCGTCAAGCAGCAAGTGAAAGTGGGCATCTTAAGTGAGAGTGGTCTGAGCTTGTAAGTCTTTCGGAGTTTTTTCATCGAGTTGGATCTTCGTCCAGCCGGGCCCTTTCCAGTTTCCATGAAGGTTTCCTGGAAGATTTTAGTTTGGTGCCGCAAAGCATTGCAGTCTTTGATTGTGTTGGTATTATAGATACGTAGTTGCAACGACATTGTTGTTTTCATTGGCGCTCTACACCGACGTGAACTACTTGGAGAAGCCGGGGTGGCAACACTATCTTCCTCGCATTTTTGCGACAAGGGCCGCTTGTGGGTGTTTCTTTTCTCTGGCCGCCTTCACTGCAAAGTTTAAGCAAACAAACAATGCTCATTTAAGCAAGTTTCATCCAAACAAACAATGCGAATCAGATTTTTATATGAGAATTTTCTAAGCTCCTCATTCTTCTGGCTCCACAAAGAATTTTTGGCCTAATTGCTGAAAGAAAACAAAGAAAAAATAACAATTATTTTGACAACTTAAACCACTAGCTTGTGGCCGCAAAATGCAAGTCCGATGATTCCCGGAGCGTTAAGAACGTTCCTGGCGGGGGAGCACGGCCATTCAGGAAACTCGTGAAGACAAGGTACCACTCCACGTTTGTGAGAATCGCAATTCTGGAACACGGATCTGTAAAGAGCTATAGTTTTGGTCCTGGAAGACAAATCATGGAACAGATTTTCGTGAGAAAGTTAAAGAGCTGGTTTCATGTTTCTTTTCGCTTCTTGATCGAGCTGGGAGTTGGACTGTGTAGAGCTTGCAGAAAAGCGCTGCTAAAACTCCATAAGTCGTCAACGAGAGAGGAAAAGAAAAAAAGTAAGTTGTTGTATCAAGAGAGCTAGCTATGGAACTTATAAAACCACCAAAAAAACCCATTCAACAGCACCGGCGTACCTTTCACAAAACTGTGCATTTCTTCGTCGATTGGATCGTCAGGAGTCAGGACCACACTGAAAACGACAGAGGAAAAGCAAAAGAGAAAACAAGTTGTGTCATTATGGCAAATTCCAGCACAACAAAGCGGGCAAGGAATTACAGATCAAACAAACTTACTTATAAGGGGGCTGAGATCTTCTGGCTCTCAACCAAAAGTAAGGAGACTGCAGTTCAATCGAGAAACATAGAAGATGTACATAAAAACTTGATCAATGTACCTCGTCACAGCTAGAATCATTGTCAGAGATACTTTCACTATCCCACCACGCTCGTGCATTTCTTCCTCGATTGGATCGTCAGAAGCCAGGACTATACAACCAGAAAATCAAAGGAAAACAGCAGTGTGCACGTAAAGATTGAAATCTGCGAAAGCAGGAACTCGGGAACTCGTAGACCTTGATCAGTGATCAAGGTCTAGCACCGATGTACCTTTCACAAAACTGTGCATTTCTTCGTCGAGTGGATCGTCAGGAGTCAGGACCACACTGAAAACGACAGCGGAAAAGCAAAAGAGAAAACAAGTTGTATCATTAGAGAGATATTGCAAAATTCCAGCACAACAAAGCGGGCAAGGAATTACAGATCAAACAAACTTACTTATAAGGGGGCTGAGATCTTCTTGAGGTCCCCTTCTGTTTATGGCTCTCAACCAGAAGTAAGGAGACTGCAGTTCAATCGAGAAACATAGAGATGTACATAAAAACTTGATCAATGTACCTCGTCACAGCTCGAATCATCGTCAGAGATACTTTCACTATTCCACCATGCTCATGCATTCCTTCCTCGATTGGATCGTCAGGAGCCAGGACTACACAAACCAGAAAATCAAAGGAAAACAGCAGTGTTCACGTAAAGATTGAAATCTGCGAAAGCAGGAATTTGGGAACTCGTAGACCTTGATCAGTTGATCGCGCCCGAAGGCTTGGCCAAAGCAAATGTGCATAAATGTGAACTTAGTATGGAAAACAAACCGCTACTCGCAGACTAGCAAAAGGTGGCATCCCTGAGGTGCATGGGAAACTTGCGATCGCTCATGTAGACGAACCGAACCTCCCTTCGCGGTTCAAGAGGTCCGCCATCCAGAACGAGACAATCACCCGGCAAGAGGCGGTGGAAAACCCCCGGATCGATGAGCTTGTAGGACGCGAAAATGCGGCAATCGACGTGAATCCCGCACACACTGCGCTCGCCCTCGTTCATGATCACCACTTCGAACTCGAGCACATCGCCGGTATCCACCTGGCTGATCTCAATGTTCCTCATGGGCCGGTCTACACAAATGGAGTGAGGAAGAAACGAAAGAAAAGGATCCAAAACAAATGGAACTTACCTGAATCGCTGGAAGCTGAAAGAACGGAGATCATGAGATACAGCATGAACAGCTTGCGCAATGCTTCATCTAGGATCATCCTCATCGTCGGGATGGATCAAGCAAGAAAGAAGAAGAAGAAGAAGCTACTCTCTCTTATGGTGAAACACGAGTATTTATCCTAAGGCTGCGTCGCCCCGTAATCTGGGACGTAAGTGAAACACCGGTTTTTGGAATGGATAAGCTTACGCGAATTAAATCTCCTCTGCGACGTGTGCCACCTTCCACGTATAATCGTAAAATCCGCTCTCTCACAGCAGTAGGTTTGACCGAAATGGCTTCTAGAGACTTTTAATCGTGTGGCTTCCCAACAGATATATTTTCGTTGAGATTAAAGAAAGGATGGCACTTCTTTGCAGGCTCCTGTGAGACCAGGAAATTGTAAAGTTATGATAAGAATATGCATAAGTTTGGATGTTCGCACCAGAAAGCTTCCTTCATTCAGTCCCAAAAGACCTGGAAAAAAAAGGTGAGATACAAACTCCAGGGAAGTGCCTAATCTCAACAAACATCCAATTTCTGGCCTTAGAGCGTAATCTTTGTCTGTATTTCTGAAACTTAACGAGAAACATTAGCATGGTTGATGGCAACAAGAGTTTGATGAGTTTCAAACCTTCCAGCCTCCGTTAGGACAAGCTTCATGAGTATTCTTAAGAGCCATCCTCTGCCATCAATACATTTAAACCATTGGTGTATTAACCATAAAAATACATTTAAATATCATAATAAAAATTTAACAATTTTAAAGATAATAAGCATTGACTAATAGATTTTAAATACTAAATTTTAATCTAAATCTTCTACTGCTGCTGCTCTTGGAACAAGAGCCACAATCTTCTGGACTGTGTGATTTATCCAGCTACTCTTTATGAGTCACATAACTATTCTCCTCTACATCTTCATCTTAACCCCATCAACTAAAACGATAGGCCCAAAACCTTTTTAGAACCACAATACCCTCTAAAGCATCATGTAATTTGGGAAACCCTTAATCCTTTATGGAATGAAAAGAATTGTGAAAGAAGGATCAATGCAGTAAAGTATAGAAAAAAGTTATTGCCTACCAAGGAAAGGATAATACCCTAATGAATATTGCAATTTACCTGCCATGATAAATTGTGTATATTAGAAAGTTCTAGCCCATCTTTGCTCATCCAAAACCCTGGATTTTCAATTTTTCACTATAATAGCTAACTTAGATTTACTTTTTTTACAAACTCTGAGAGAAAGCTACAAAAGAGATTTTGGCATTCAAAGTGAAATTTGCTACTTTACTACAGTTATATATTAGTTATGCTACTTTATATTTCAACAGCTGTTAAAGAATTTTTTTCCTAACCCATGTCCTTACAATTGATTGAACCATTGTAGTCCCATACTTGTGGTATGTGACCCTTTCGAGAACTCTTGAATGCAGCATGTGGCATCAAGAAATCTAGCATTCCAAGAAGAAACGTGTTTTGGCACATACTTTGCTAGATCACTAATTAACTAGCTATAGATGAGCACATTATTAAAAGAACTTACTTGCCTTGCATGATGCCTCTTCTTTTCTAGTCTTCTGCTTTGTTGTGACAATGTTAGTAATTTGGGTAAATAAAAAAACGGTGAGCCTGCCATTAGATTCTAAGGAATATTCACAGGCGGTAACAATTTATAAATTGCACGCCATAGTACGCAAAGTTCAAGCGCGTGCATCCAGGTTTGACACTGCTATATCCCTGTGAGAAAAAAAAAGTTCTTTCCTCGTTAGAAAAGCTCTTAGGAACGCTTACTAGAAATATTACTTGTTGAAAGGAACTATGAACACGAAAACAAAGAACCAGCTTCATGGCTGCATATGCCGCAGGACTGGTGGCCATGAGGTACTCACCCGCTACGGTGTGATGCGCAGGCACGTCTCTGTACTTAGTAGCCTTGGTAAGCAAGCGAACATGGATGATATTGCTGCGCACCAGCTGCTGGCGCACAACTTTGTTGGCGTGGTTGATCTGCCCACCAAAAACTTCGGCTACCACCGTCCTGTACGCCGCGGCACCACCACCCTCCACAATCGCCTTGAAGATCCCCGTCAACTCTGCTGGAGTCCATCCTTCCCCAAGCCCCAAAGTCATCTCCAAGTTCACCCTTGCCACGTCTATGAGATCCTGGGCTTGCGCCACCAGATTGGTAGCGTCCTCACCATTGTCAAGAGAAGCGTTGAGCGCCAGCGTTTTCAATTGATACGGGCTTCCACCAGCTGCCTCAAAGATGGAAGGCCAGACAGTCGCCTCCCAGTCTTGCGGGAGCTTCAAGCCCAGAGTTGGTGCGACGTGCTCGGAGAAAAACTGCTTGGCTTCGTCTTCGCAAAACAGGCCGAGTCCTATTGTCTTGAATTTGCCATCCGCGAACTTCCTACGCAGCCACGAGTCCACGACCGGAAGAACTCGTCCGAGGAAGCCATGACCACATGAGCCCTCCCAGTCTGCTTGGTCATGCCCTCCATGAAACCGAGCAACTCGTCGAGCTCCTTGTCGTAGACGCCTTCCCACTTGGCGAGCCTGTTAGCCTCGTCGAAGATGATAACCGGCTTGACGGACTTGTATTGAGCTAAAAAGCTCTGGATGATCCCTTGGATCGCCACAAGTTTTGCCCCTCGGATACCTTGAATACTTTCCCAGAAAGATTTGATTCCTTGAGCGATCTCCCCAGCTGGAACCCCCATCACGCTCGCATTCCCCAGAGACCCGAGTAAATCGCGGACTTGTTTCTGCCAGCCGCCCAATTCTGTCCTCAGCAAAGCGGCCATGGCATCCGGAGACGAGCAATCGTTGATGCGCATGTTGATGATGACCAACGGAGCCAAAGCGCTCCTGCCCGCGGAACTCTTCCAGAGCTCACGCAGATGCGTCAGTAACAGCGACTTTCCCGCATCCTTGGGACCCAGGAGCACATTGATTTGTAAAGGCGCAGCATCCAGGATCCTGACCAACATCTCCAGTTCCTCCTTGCGATCGAAGAAGCCGTAGGAAGACTGCACCGCACCCGCGGCCCGCCACACTTCGGATGCTTTGACCCAGCTCCACGCTGGT